GTTACATTTGTGTGGCAACCTTTTCAAAAATAAAAAATTGATCAACAATCTAAATAACAAATTTACTTACAAATTAAGAGTATGTTTGGTTTAAAATAAATAGAAGAGAGAAAGAACTGGATAAATTTTTTAACCAATAAAATTAATGTGGTGATATAGGTATAACTTATTGGTACTTCATTTTTGTATAACTTTTTAATACTTTATTTTTATATAATTTTCATATATCATTAAATAAATAATTGCATTTAATATCACAACTTCTAAATAAATAAAAAAAAATCAATCATTTAAATAACATATAAAATTATATAAAAAATAATACAAAAAGTTATCCTTAAATCATTTTTCATAAAATTATAATCTTAACTAACATCATACTTTAATTAGTTGGAAAAAAAATTCCCTTTTCCCTCTCATTTTCTTTCAACTCAAATATACTCCTAATCAACACTTTGAATTCTATATATAATTTAGAAATTTCGTATCCTAAAATGGAGAAATGAGTGCTATTCTTTTATATATATATATATGCACACACACATATACATATATATAAGTAGTTTATATACAAATCTTATACATTACATTTTTATAAAATCTTAAATATTAATCTCTTCTCTTTCAATGATTGAAATTTATTTATATTTATTAAAACTAATGATTTTTTTATCTAAAAAGTTGTCATAAATATCAACTATTAAAAATAAAAAGATAAATAATTAAAATTTTATATAAATATAATATATAAAACTTTATATATAAGTGAATCCTACTATATATATATATATCCCGTCATTGAATCTACCAATAAAATCGCCCACCAACAATTTTATTTCCTTTAAAATCATTTGTTGGGTCAATTTCCTCTGAATTGTTTGGTTTCCAATTCAATAGGTCAATAGGTCAAATTAAAGGATACAGACACCCATACAAAGTATGGCATGTGTAGTTAATATCTTGTTTTCTCCAGAAAATAATGGGCTGGACTTTCCATATTTTGTTCATTATTTTCATAGATAACATGTAAAAGATTTATTCCTTTTGTCTTCCATATTTAAAGTATGACTTCACTTGTTTCATATTCTAAGGTATGGTATTTAAATTTCATAATTTTATCTATTCCTTGTTATAATCTATTTGAAGGGGTTCGAATTTTCTATATTTGGCAAATTATTTACTTTACACAGCAAATCTTAGTAAATATATTACATTTAAAAAAATTTAATATTTTAGATCCCTAAAATAAAATAAAAGTTGAAATTCGACTTTACTCCCTATGGTATGGAGTATTTACGTTTCTCCCCCAAAACATTTGAAGAGGGACAAATAGCTACATGAAGCAATGAGGTTTAAGCATTGCTATGGAAATGCTTGCATTTTCCTTTAAAAAATGTATTTTTTTCAAATATGTTAAATTTGTCATTCTTACTAGAAAAAGAGGTTTTTTTTTTTTTAAATTTTATTTTTTAACTTGTACATTTAAAATAGAGGTTAAGAATATAATTATTACATATTTTTTACATTAATTAGTATAAAAAAATATAAAATTTAACATTAATTTTACCACCAATAACATATAAATTATTTTATGCAATAATGTACATTTTATTATTAATTTTCATAGAAAAATACAAGAACTAACATTTTTTTAAACACTATTTCACTTGTATCATTTTAACTAGTTATTTAATTAAATTAAATTTAATATTTATATTTCTAATAAAAATTAATAATAACAAGGTAAATTCATTGCACCTTCGTCGTGAAGGAACACGATAGAAATATCTAATATTTTTTATGGTTTGATTTAGTTATCTTAATTTAATTTTTATATAAATTTTAATAAGATACTTTATATAATAAATAAATGAGAATTAAAATTTTTTCCTATACGTAATTTTTATTATGTAATTTCATTTAAATAAAAAAAAATTCAATTGTATTTATTTCCTATATAAAATTTAATTTACCTAAAATTGAGAAAGTAAAACAACTTAACAAGAGTATAAGGGCAACAAAAATGAGAGAAATTTCTATAAAATTTTTTTTTAAAAAGATGATTTTTTTGAGTGGGACAAAGAAAATTATAAGCTTGGACAATGAATGATGTTACCCCTATTGCCCTATATCTAAAAAAGAAAATTACTAGGCTGTAATTATACTTAACTTTCTAACTTTTAGGGGTGAAATAAACATAGAAGAGGAAACTATTTTACCAGATGAATGATATATAATTCATTTATACACCCGATTTTATAGATCGATTGATAACGATATATATTATTCAATCTCATGATTTGAATTTAATTTTTTTTAAAAAAAAAATTATCCTTAATTACAAAAAAGATATATAATTCATTTTATAAAATAATTTAAATATTTTTATTTTTAATTTTATATAATTTTATTAAAAATATTTAAATAATTTTACAAAAACAAATTACACCTCATTTGCTGTATAAAACAGTTCTCTTGTACAAGGCAAAAATAAAAATTTGTTTATTTCTTTTTAGAAAATAAATAAACTCGGAAGTTGCCGTACACGCCGCCAAACCAAATACACGTGGGCCCAGAACCGATACGAACCTAAACCAGAGCTCCGAAGCTAGAGACTCGGACGACACAGCTGGAGACAGGCTGGCTCCAACAAAGTCCCACTCATCTATCCCCCCCCCCCCTCCCCTAACTACGTTCTCTCTCTCCCCTTCATTGTCTCTCTGGTTCTACTTCGCACGAGTTAGGGTTTCTGGATCTCGTTCTTATGATCTCCGGATTCGTCTCTCGAGCTATCCCGTTCAAGATTCATCGTCTTGTAAGCTCTCTTTTAATCTATTTTTCTTTTGTTTTGCATATGATTTTGGTGGTTAATCGGTTTCTTTTCCGTCTTCGATGCTGTTCTTCTGTTTCTGGAATTTGTCGCTATTTTAGAGTTTTATTATGATTAATGTTGTATTGCATGCAGCGGAGGTGGCAATGAACGTAAGGATTTTGAAATTGCATGTATAAATTTTGTATGCAATGTTTAGATTTGGAGTTTTTCTTACTGCGAGATTGTAATTTGTGAATTTCTTTAATGTTCTCTTGATGAGGATGGAAGCAAACAGGCAATGAAACAAAATTTAAAGATTTTGCATTCCTCCTCTTTTTTTTTTCTTTTTTATTTTTTGTATCTTATTTGGTGTTAATAAGTTTGAACAAGAGGAAAACTAAATAAAGCTTCAATGAGACTTGCTGAAGGTCTTACCTATTCCTTGTTGGAATTTTTTTGGACTTTGAGAGTAAATCATATGCTTGATATTTTGGATTTGTTATAATGATTAATGTGTAACTTTCCTGTGTCTAGAAATCAATTGTTTGGTGATGAGGAATGATGATTTGGGCTTCTTATACTGGAATCTTTCAATTGGGACTCATAATGCTTGTGTTTCCAGAGATCTATTGCACACATAATTCATTATTCTGATGTTTACAGCCTTGCAGTGTAATTGAGAATTTTTGCGTCTCTATGGATACAATAGGGCTATGTTGGTATTAAGACTCAGTCATTGATGTTGAAAGTGTCTTCTCTTTTTCATTATAACGGGATTGAGAACTCAATCTATCCGAATGTTCAATCATTATGTTTGTAAGGTTTGCATTTTTACCCTGAATGCCTTGGCATTTTGAGAAATAGCTAAGAACTGCAGATTCTGGAAAGAAGTTGCGTCTTTTATAGGGATATTGGCTTTGTTAGTGAATGTAGTTGGTTTTCTGAGGTTTTACTCTTTCTCTCCAATAAGAGATTTTTTTTTATATTGAAATCTTATTGGAATTAAATCATAACTCTTATTGATTTTTTGCTTGTGTGCTATAGGTGGTTGATCTATACTGCTGAGGTTATTGTGTTGAAACTGCAATCTGAAAGCAGGATCAGTTATTTTTCAGTTGGTGATACGTGGTACATTGGCCTGGTGATACACTAACAGAGGACTTCTTGTATCTATGCTGGTGGATAGCATGCGTGGAATCTGTGATTCGGGTAATGCCCCTGACGAGAAATTTCACCGATGCATTCGGTCTGTTAACAATTTGTCTCGTGGCTTTGTTGGTTCTGCTCGGTTTGTGCTGCATTGCTTACTCGTTTTACTTCCGCATTCAAGTTCGTAGGCAAGCATTTACCCAACTAAGTTATTTTAGTGGCCCTTGGATAATCAGGATCACATTCATATTACTTGCAATCTGGTGGGGTTTTGGTGAAGTTGTTCGACTCAGTTTTTTGAGAAAGGAGGGAGGAGTGTTGCATGCCCACACTTTGCAATGGCAGGAGACCGTCTGCAAATGTTACATTGTCTCAAATTTAGGTTTTGCAGAACCTTGCCTCTTCCTCACTCTTGTGTTTCTTCTTCGTGCACCCTTACAAAAGATGGAGAATGGAATTCTGAGCCAAAACTGGAATGGGAAAACTGTACTTCGTACTCTTCTCTCCTGCCTTCCTATTTTTCTCCTTCAACTCTTTGTTATTTTAATTGGGCCCCAGTTAAGCAAGGGTAAGAGTTCAGGACATGGTTTTCCTGCATATTTCACGAGAGCAGCATATCAGTCAATCAATATTACCATCTGCACTTACCCTTTACTGAATACTATCCTTCTGGGCCTTTTTACCACAGTCTTGACTGTCTATTTGTTTTGGCTTGGAAGGCGGATTTGGAAATTGGTTATCAATAAGGGTTTGCAGAAGAGAGTTTATACTTTGATATTCTCAGTTTCAAGTTTCCTTCCATTGAGGGTTCTTTTACTTGGTCTATCTGTTTTGCCTAAATCAGATGATTTAAAGTCTGAAGCTCTTACATTCTTAGCTTTTCTTGCCTTGGTATGCTTTGTTGGGATCTGCATTTGCATGCTTGTTTACTTGCCAATTGCGGATTGTCTAGCCCTAGGAAGCCCACATGACTTGGAGGCTAGGAGAAGGGTTCTTGATGAACAGAATGACACCATTTCTCTCATTGCTAACCAGAGCCATCTTGAAGAAAGCAGTGGGATAAGCCCTGAGAGGAACTCTGATGCCTCTACCAAGCGAGGATCAATTTCTTTTCGAGCTTATGGAAAAGATGGGAGCTCAACTGGAACATTGGTTGAACTAAGCCTCTTCTCTCCTAGTCGAGATGCAACCCCACCAGGATCACCTCCTCTTCTGGGCTGGCCAATGCGCTATCCGACACAAGTACAAGAACCCCAAAAGTGACTAGATCAAGATACTGATTACTTGTGGTGAATATCTCAATTTTGTGATAAAGAAAACTGATTGTAAAGAGTTTAGTTTTAATAAGGATTTTTATTCTTGGTTTGTTTTCTAATATTAGATTTGAAGGTTTTGCTTATGATCTGAAGCTCTATTGTAACATTCTTCTCGACAATATTTTTCTTCTTTGTTCCCAAGATTATCATTCATGGTCATGTATGACAATAGTTAGGGTTTCGTTTTGGAGTGGAACTTGATTCGCATTTTGCTACTAAGATCCAAATCTGGGTTTAAAGGATGGTCCAGGGATGCCTTTTGAGGGATTACATTATACACATGTACTGGAACACAAATATCATAAGAGGTCGAATGGCCTAACTGGATCCAGCAAGCATTCTGGATTGAAAAATGAGACGTGCGAATGATAAACTAGTCTTTGTTCTTCGAGAAGTAACTCCATCTGGCATGACAGCTTGTTATTGCCTTAGCTTCTCCTGCTTTCTAGCTTATCCTTGGGTGTACACCAGCTCATATCCAACCTATACGTATTATTTTACTAATCTTTCCCTTATACAAACAAAACTTCCCTCTTGATTAGTTCTTTTTTTTTTTTTTTTAACTTTGCTTAGGCATATCTCTTGATTAGTTGATTGTCGAAAGAAAAATATATTTCGTTCTCAAAAAAAGTGGAAGAGAAATGAAAAGAGGAATTGGTAAATATTTTATTTAAAGAGTTATTGAAGATCCCAGTGGGGCTGGGCCTAATGATGCCCATCGGTCATGGAATCGGGCTAGTGGGTCTGTCCTGATACGAAGCGGGAAACACGAGAAGCGAAGTGAAAAGCAACAGAATCAAAGAACAAGGGTAATAAGGTCATTTCGAGAGAATTAGTCAAAGGCTCAAGGGTGAAGGTCACGAACACCCAACCTTGCGTTATTTGTTACTGTTGCTTCCCGAACAAAAACTCCTTTTCAGCAGAATCGAATCGTCGGAAGAAAACCCTAGCGAGAGAAAACCTCCGTCGAGCCGAGGCCAATGGCGTCGTTTGATCAAGCACCTCCCGGGAATGCAAAAGCCGGAGAGAAGATCTTCAAGACCAAGTGTGCTCAGTGCCACACCGTCGAGAAAGGCGCCGGTCACAAGCAAGGTCTCTCTTTAATTCCCGTCTCTGAATTTCGATACCGTTTTTTCTGATTCTTTTGGTAAATTGTTTTCGTATTGAGTGAGATTGGAGTCTTTGTGATTTGTTAATCTGTATCTCTTTTCGTCTGTCCTTTTCGATTCAGGTCGTTTTCATATTAGCTGTTAAGAGCTTGTCTGTCTCTGTTGTGAGGTTGAGAACTTATTCCAATTTCCAAGTTCATAGATTTTTCAAATCTGAATTGGCATCGAAATTACTGCATATTGTTATGTTTTGTTGTATTCCAGAAGTATGGATATTGGTGTTAAAATACAAATCCGGAACAAAGATTAGAGTAACAATTGATTCCTCTTGTTATGTATGTTCAGTTCAAATTTGATTAAAAAGTGCATAAATTTTGGCTTGTCCTGCAGGTTTTATTCTGCATTTAAGTTTTTTTTGCTGTATTTTTTCAGATAATGTTTTAGCAGCTTCTCTGTTAAGTTAAATATTGTCATAGAGATCAATTCTTTGTGTATCTGTATTTTGCTTTTCTAGTTTGGGGATCAATAAGTCAGCTTTTGAAATCTGCAGGACCTAATTTAAATGGCCTTTTTGGGAGGCAGTCTGGAACAACACCTGGATACTCCTACTCTGCTGCTAATAAGAATATGGCAGTGATTTGGGGAGAGAACAAGTTGTATGACTACTTGCTCAACCCTAAGAAAGTATGCATGAATCACATTTCCCCCTCTTTTAATGATTTTGCATTTCCCTTTTCTTTTTCCCCCTTGAATGCTTTGATGCACTGGAAATTCTTGTTTTTTACTGTACTCCTAGAAAGTGAAATTGTATTGGTGGCAATCTATGCATGGTATTTAATGTCTTAATTAGCATGGAGTCTCTTTTGGTTTTGAAATGTTGAGATGGCACTTTGTTCCTCTTACCCCATGTACGGCATGTCTAGATTGAATTGACTTTTGGTTTGCAAGGCACAGTTCTTTCACTCACATCTTGTTAATCTTGTGATTATATAGTTTGATAGCTATTTTACAGTTGATGATTTACTTTAATTTTTGCTTTTTCAGTACATTCCTGGAACCAAGATGGTTTTCCCTGGACTAAAGAAGCCACAGGAGCGTGCTGACCTCATTGCTTATCTAAAGGAATCAACTGCCTGATCCTTTTGGTTTATTTGAGCCAATTTTTGAAGAGTACGTTCATTGATGCGAAATGTTTTACCTTTTTGACATGACAAAACTTTGCAATTTTTGAAATAAAGATCATTAATCACTCCAAAATGTTTTAGGTTTCAGAGTTACAGGCATGTAACCAAACATTTTGTGTAAGATCGATTTGCTGAGGCATTCTATGAAACCTTTGCCAATATTTTAGTCTCTCTGTTATGAGAGCTCTTTTATGGACATGATGGTTTTTGATGATTGTTTTTAATTATTTGGCCAAAGGTGAATGTCTTTCGAATATGGAGCATTAAGCGTAGTGGCCATCAGTAGGAAATCAACAGTAACAACATTATAAAGATCCAATCATTTGAATCAACATTAACATACATCTAATCGAAATATGTCCAGGTATAAATCTACTGATACAAGTAAACACTAAATAAAAGAATGCCTTGAATTGAATACAAAATTACTAGGCTATGGAATGCCTTCGATCGACTTATATATCTCTTCCATTTGTGTCAAGACAAGATCATCTTCATCGACTGGGGAGAAAATGCTATGGAGATAATCAGGGCGACCACCACTCCCTTTCTCCTTTGGTCACTTTGAAATTTTCACTTGACAATTCCCATTTACAAAGGTACCTAAGCTCTGGGCAATCATAAAAGCCTATCATTTTCAGTTTTGGTGCAATGTGAAATTCCAGTTTTGGAAGGAAAAATGGTATCATCTTCAAGCTAGGAAGAAAACAATCTGATGCAAACTTAAAGGATGCATTGCTTTCTCGGCTTACTACACTAGTCAATTCAGGGCAGTCTTAGACGTAAGCACTTCTAACTTGCCAGGATTTATAAGCAAAGCTGGTGACAAAATGACTTCCAATCTCGGGCACGTATGGAGTTCTAGGACCTTCAAGGGAGATGGAGACAGCTTATCATAGTTGGGGGTGCTCCAAATGCTCTCGAAATTCTCCAGGTAATAGATATGCAGGAATTGTAGATTAAAAAGTGCATGTTCTTGATCATAATATGACTCACAATTGGTTGCCTCACCTTCAACCACATCGGTTTGCTCTTCTTCATAAGTCTGGATTTCATCACATTCTGCCAATAAGCAGAACCCTAGGTTCTCCATATTCTCAATCCCGAAATCACAAAAGCTTCTAGCGGAGGCATGGCGTTCTAGGTAGACTGACTTTATTTTTTTTTTTTTCCTTTTCTTTTCTTTTTCTTTTGGTACTAACTTCTTATATCGACAGCTATATTATACGTGAGTAAACCAAAATTGAACCACATTGGACTGTATAAGGAGAAGTTGTCCTAGTGTTTCTCCATTAAAAAAACTTAAACTTAAAATTTTATTTAAGGAGAATTGAATTCTTTTTACTTAGATCAACAGATCGTTGGTTCAAGATAGATTGCTTATGTGTATTCAATTACCTCTTTCATCTCTCTTGAGATATCATTTATTTTTTTGGTATTAACCTTTCGATATCTAGTAGGAACGTAAGTTTTCAGTAATTTAGAATCAAGCCGCGTCGGATTTCAAAAGAGAAAAAACTCTCTCAGCATTTACTTTTTCATTTATAAAATTTAAAATTTTATTTAAGGAGAACCGAACTTCTTTCACTCAAATAAGTCGGTGGTCCCTTGAGATATCATTGCCATTAACAAACTACAAGCATTTGTCCCACGTTTGAAAATGAGCTTCAACTTTTTTTGGTATTCGAGAGCAGACGCGCTGTCCATGCTGCCCAACAGTAAACTTGAAGCCAGACAGGGGATAAAAACTCAAAGATGTGCTACCTGACCTGCGTTTTCCCAAAATCCCAACATGTGGCAGGTATATTGTGAGAGACTTCAATCTTTCCAAGCTACAGGCTTCCTCTACAACAACTTCCTCAACTGCATTCCATCCTTATTTGGATTCACATCAATTTTTAAATTCAATCAACTGAAAGAGACTTCTAATGGTCCCAGGATGAATTAATACATTTTGCTGCAACTGCTTTCCACAGTTCATGTATCCATCAAGCGATACGTTCAAAATTTTTAATTTGGACAGCATTCCAATCTCCTTCGGCAAACCCACAATCTGAGTGGCATCTAGATCAAGCTCTAGGAGATTATGAAGCTGCCTAATTTGGGGTGACAATTCCGTGACAAGTTTACAGCATCTTTGAATGAGGTGTTCAAGTGAATCCAACTTGAAAAGAGATACTGGCAAAGACCTGATGCTGGTATGCGACAAATTCAAATATTTCAGGACAGGCATGTGCTCGAAGAACGAAGAAGGGATAGTACTCAGAGCTTTGCATCCTTCCAAGGACAGGGCAACCAGAAATGGGCAGTTTGGAGATCCTGGGAGAACAGGTTTACAACTAGTCACAACTGGTCGCAAAGATCTCTTTGGCATGCCATTCCTCGCCTTCTGGTATCTCTTTCAACACTGCCCCCCCTTGCTTAGAACTTGCATTGGTGTCTCTTTCAACACGAAATGGCATTTTATCCTCTGGTTCTTGGTCGCCTTCATCTTCTGCGGCAATTTTCTCCTTCTTGTGCCTGAATGACCCCTGCATAATGTTCTGTCAATATCAAATAATCCCGAGGTAGAACAGAAAGGAATTTTGGATAAATAGAGGAAAGAGACAGCTGAGAGAGACTAGCAAAAGTTGAGGATTTTTGGAAGACTTATAACTCAATTCATGTTAAATTCTTTGAAGGATCCTAAAACACACAACTGTTATATAGAGAACAGAAAATTTTAAAAGATTTCAAAATCTCAAGTTCTCCATCCTGTCTCAAATTAATTCCTAAACGCTTATACTATCTAGGAATCATTAATCAATCCGTAATCAAAATATCAAATTCTCCATGCTTCAATTGTTCACTTTCTCTACTCTGATTTAATCTTAGGTTGTAATTCGTTCCCCTATTGCTTGTTTTCATCAATAACACTACTTAGAAAACTAACAAATTAAAACATATGGCGACATGCCTGCCCACCATCGAAAGCCGGCAACTTCTTCGGATTTGTATCTCCCACATTAGTCCTACTTTTCATCCTCATTATGATTTTCTTGTCCAACTCTCAAAATTCACTAAATATTTATAAGAACAGGAAAAATGAAAATTCTGATTGAATTAGAATTCCGAGGAATTAATAATAAAACCAGTCTTACCCTAAATAGAACTCTTAAATCTTTCAGAATATGGAACATGAAAGGGGCCATTAGGAGGAAAGCAACACTATTTACACAGCAATATAAAGCCAGTCTTGCAATTCCTTGTGACATTACATCTCTTAAAAAATATGCCCTGAATCTCAAGTGCTGGGCTTACATCACTTAAATTTCGAAGAAATGCAACTTGCGAGGTTCAACACTACTTTACATAAAACAAACTATCAACCAAATTCAGAAGCTTAAGTTCCGCACCACCTCTGTGACCTCATCTGATATTTGAGCAACCAACAACACCAATGTCATGGTTCTGCATTTAATCCTAGATTTATGGTGTAGATCCAAGAGCTGTCACTCATCCAATAAAAGGCAATGAGAATCCAAAAATCTGTAGAATATCAGTAATACAGCTCTGTTAAACTACAAGGAGTATGGAATCATTAGACTTAATGCAAATATATCATCTCTTGTTCATTCCTCAGATTAAAGATTATAGTATCATTTCATTTAGGATATGAAAATAGAGTACAGTAGCAGGAGATTTTGAATTAATGCACACTAGATGATGAGGATGTTACTTTTATCCATTCATTTCTAATTGTGCAAAGTTAGTTGTTTGGCAAATTGAGCCTAGATATAAATATACTGATACAAGCAAACACTAAATAAAAAATGCCTTGAATTGAACAGAAAATTACCAAGGTATGCAATGCCTTCGATGGACTTATATGTCTCTTCCATTTGTGTCATGACATGATCATCTTCATCGATTGGGGAGAAAATGGTATGAAGATAATCAAGGTGATTCCCCCACTCTGATTCTTCCCACTTCAATGCTTTCCACCACTTCCTTTCTCCTTTGATCACTTCTAAATTTTCACTTGATAATTCCCTTTTACAAAGATCCCTAAGCTCTGAGCAATCATAAAAGCCTATCATTTTCAGTT